CAATTCTGATGTCATGCAAGACCCTCAAATCTTCCGTGTTCTATATCAATATCAATAATGCCCTTAGTATCAGCGACTGAGACAACCAATGGCAGAAAATCAGGAATACCATGTCTTACCTAGGGACCTGGTTCCATAACATTCACTACAGCCGCGCAGGCACAAAACACCGTTATTTATCCGTCGACCATTCCTCTATCAGGCTATACCGGGTACACGGCCATTCCTTATTTCGTGCCGATATTGTCTAATTGCCTAATACCTGGGGGAAGAAACCGGCCTGCCAGGCCCGAAATGAACCACTGCTATTCGATCCTCAGGCGAACAACAACCAGAAATCTTGATCCTCTTGGCCTTATCTTGGCGGAAGGGATACTATGGTTGCTGACTCCGTTATCCGAACCACCACTCTCATTTAAGGTTGAAAAGCAACAAAGAAATGGGTACCTGGGAGACTTAGGTATTTGTCAACACTCTATTGGCATTATTGATTAATATGAATATTGATATGAGTCGAAAGGAACGAATTCTCTATCCATGGCTCAGTATTTGTCAATATGAGCCACTTCTGTGAGCTAGTTCTAGAATAGGCCAAGTGTGCACTGGTTTGCTAGACAACTCGCTCATAATCTGTTTGTTGTTGACACTTACTCCCACGCCTGGTCCTAGCGGGATGCTCTACAACCCCTCAAGTTCCTATGTGAGAATGTCTCATCCTCTGAACCTTCTCGAATCCAAGAGATACCAGGACGAGTTGTGAAGATATAGGAAAGAGTGCATGGTGCAATATTGAGGATGAAACAGAGAGACCAAAGAAATGAAGAACAAAATAATCAAACAAAAATCAAAATAAAGAGAAAGAAAAAGAAAAGGCCACGATTAATTCTGTCATCTGTACGAACCAGTCGGACCAATGGGATACTGGATGAGAGGAAGGGACAGTGGTATCCACAACAACAATATTTCTCCGCACCTGGATGGAGGCTGGAGGCCTGGAGACTGGAGCAGATCACGGTCCGGGTCCGAAGTGGAGTTTGTCTGGAACACAGACAAAAAGCCTAGATATCCATACCTACTGTAAGTTACCTAGGACTAGACCTTCGGCGCCTTCAGTCAGTCAGTGGTAATGGACAACAAATGATTCTGCCAACATGTTCAAAGTTTGTTTGATTTTCCTTATAAATCAGTACTCCATAATCGGTGCTGTTATTAGCTTATTACATGTTATTAAGACCTGTTGTTGGATGGTCTAACCAATCAGACAGTAATGACGATATCGCCGGCTCTATTATCCAGGCGGAATTCTCCGAAGCTGACAGACCCTATTCAGGTACACCGTACTTGCTTCGCTTCGCTGCGCAAAGAGCAAGAAAACGTCTGATCATCTGCCTTTCAGCTCTCGACATACCTTGATCTAATTGCACCACCAATCAGATCTGACATGAAGCGTCTTGGATGCCGATCTCCGCGGTGGCTTAAGTACGTTCACTGCTGTGTTGTGTGTACCCGAGAACGATATTCGAGTTGTTTTATTCAATTCCAATACAGCGAGTGTATAATATACCTATCATGACAGACACTTGCCGTCCACCATCGGTGATCATCGCACGGCTGTTACAGAAACATGTGATTGATGATTAGAGCTATAGAGCTCATTATATTACCTAAATATCCTCTCAACAGTACTCCATAGTAGACTAGTAAGGTTGTGCCTAAGGGTCGGTACCAAAGGACCAAAGCTAATAAAGGCACTGGTACCACGGCCCCACCATCCGACCTCGAGTGACCTAGGACGTTCGGAGCTGGAACAGAGTCATTCCAATTTCTATTTTCATTTATTTTTAGCTCGCGCCAGTGTTGGAACGGGACCTCTGAAAGATACGACTGTCAAGATGAATCCATGGTTGATATGCACCGTTAATGGAACCGCCGAACCGCGCCCAAGTGGGTATGATGTCTTGGACGAGGGGAACGAGGTATGGAAAATTTTTTTATTGATGCGTTCATGATCGACAGACAGGGATTGTGGTTATAACTCATCATTTGTAAGAAAAGGTTCGAAGATTCGCGCATGAAACACGCCAAACAAAGCGTACAAGCGACGCCTAATTTGATGCACCAAATCAGGCTGAACCAATAGGAAGTAGTCTAGTCGAAGCGCCTCGAGGCGGATGAGACAAACATTGATCAGAATCAAAGATAATACCGTAGTGATCGTCCTTTGTGTACTGTCTACGGAGTAATTGAAGAAGGTGATCGACTTGCAATATGTTGGACACTGCTGTGCTCTTCCTCTGTCTCCTTTGTCGCTGTATTCCGAAATACCAATTTAATCAAAATTTCCGATACGAATTTTGAAAAATTCTAAGAGTACCTAATGCGCTAGACCAGGTAGCTTCGGGCCATCGGCAGATAATCGGCCCCAGTCAGTGGACTTCCGAGGCCATTCAGTGTCGAGTACGGAGTACTATGTCGAGTTTAGGTTAGCTGGTTTGCTTTTCCACTTTACACTTTTGGTTGCATCCTGAGCGTAGATAGCCTAGACCCAGGGGCCACAATTGATCACCTCGGATAGAGAGGCATTTGGACAAGCCATGGGGAGGGAAAAGAGAACTCCCTCACAGACAGGGTTCTTTTCGTCCCTGAATTCAAATCATCATGCAGGTAACCAAAGTATCCTGTGAAACGCCGTTCAAAAAAAGCATCCATCGAGTGATAAACTTTAATATTCACCGACAGTTGAAACCGTCAAGGCCAGAATGTGAGTAGTCCAAAAGCTTCGCGGCCGCTTTACCAGTCAAGTGCCCATTTGCCCGGTGGATGGATCATGCCGAATGGGCGTTGTGTCATGGTCCATTAAAGTTGACCACGTAGCGTGTTGAAAGGGATGATCCCTGTTCCATAAACTTTCAGGAACGACTTTCTTAGACATATCGCCGTAGAGTCGACTCTATTGTCGCTATCTACGGACAACTGCGTTCAATTCTCAAGGACGCGCACACACACAATGCAATTATCACGGAGAGTTGGCCTCAGTCTAGTGAAGGTCGAGATTGGGCAGTAAATCCATCAATAATAGTCGCACTCACACCCTTCGCTCCGCTGGAGTTCAGCTCCTGACATTTCATTGGGGGCTCTCCTGTGAGGCCTGTCGTCATCTGTATATTTAGCGGCTTGGTATCAACTTCGTACCTAGGTGGATACATGGTACTCCGTACTTTAGACCTCCCGATCGAGTAGCCATGATCACAGGTACTGAGGACGTGAGCCTTCGCGATCAAACAGCCATACGGAACCGAAAATCACTCACCAGCTCTTAGCCTGTCTATCTCGGTGATCGACCTCCACTCCCGTTCTCAATTCGTGCTGGTTACTGGTATCTAAACTAGCAGCCACAAGCCAGGATGCTACCCCAAAGTGACACCTACCACTCCCTGTCAGGGAAGGTCGACGCCACCACGATGGCAACGGCGACTATCAATCGCCATACATACATGGATTGAAACACCCTTTGTAGATCGGCACCCATCAGACCATAGCCATCTCCGGAGTCCGTAGTCCATACCTGGCTTGATAGATCGCACATCATATCTAACAAATGCATCGACGCAGGTATTGTACAAGGATCAGTCTTGACTCTTTTGGCCCCCGGTTCTGATCATCCCCACAACCTCCCTCTCATCTTGACAGCTGTGGCAACTGGTCAGGTACTCCATCGGCCGTCAGTACCTTAGTTTCATTCGGTCAGCACTACATAATAGGATTAATTGTTAGATATACAACATAGCCCCTGCCCCAAAGAGCAACTCTGCCGTAGCAAGCCAATGCAGTAAGAACGGCACGTCCCGCACCAATATTTCCATCTCCGGATGCAGCCACTCCAAGCGATTGGCGAAGACAAAAATGTACTCACTAGATCCTCGATCATGCATCGTCTCACCTGTCAAGATTCAAGTCTCTCAAGTCTCAAATCTCAAGATACCGTCCGCACGCGCACCTTATCTAGACTAGTCACTCTCGATCCTCTCTGTATGAGATATTCCCTACACCAATGTAGTATTTCCCTTTCTATGTGGCGCAGTCCAGACTCCCGTCCCCAAACTCCTCCTCTTCCTCCGCCATTCATGCTCCATTACTACTCCGTAGGAAGGACGGAATACCAGCTATAGACTAACTACTGACATATGCAGACTCGCCATTCTGTCCTCGGTTACCCTTTCCAAGTAAATGGAGGAAAAAGAATTGCCTCACTGTTTGTCTTCCATGATCCAGAGTGAGACTGGACTTCTGCTCTTCCCCCCAACCATGCCCCAACCAAACCAAATGAACAATCTTGCTCCTGCATGCGCAGTAGCGAAGGACGATAAGAGGAATACCATGTGACATGCCCGATTTCTTCGGACGTTTTGGCATGGAATTATCTATCTATTTAATATGTCTACGCTTGTGGTATTCCGTCATTAATGACTATCAAGAGGGAGAGCACGGAGTCAAGTCATCTCTGTACTACTTCACTGACAGAATTGCCCGGACAACGTTCCACAAGGCCAAAAATGAATGGACCGAATACTGGGCTCGGGCTCACTGCCCTCGCAGAAACCAGTCAGCAAAGCTGTCAAGTTGCATGATGTAACCATCCTTGAGCTGGTTCTCGTGGGCTATTGATTCCGAACTGGCCGGTTTGCGGAAGGAGTCATGAGGACCTAGATATCCTTCAGGCAAGCCTAGCTCGGTCAGGCGCGAGAAAATGTTTGCTTTGGGCGGGTTGGTATTGGTCAGGTCTAAGGCAGGGCAGAAAGACACATTGAAAAATCTATTTCTCACAAGATACATTTTGTTCTTGCGTGGGCTTCATGCATTCAGGCAAATGTCAAAAAACATGTAATTTTCAACAACTCAAGAGTCTCACATATGACGTCGCATCATGGAAACAATTCTTCATGGCTTGACGACAGCACACCGGGGTTTTCAGCAGGATCAGAAAGCCATGAGAACAGCGCCTATGCTTTACCGGCATCCACCACTGGTTGACTCGACGATTTAGGGTCAGGCTTTGATTCGGTTGATCCCTCAATTGCACGTCGTGGCTCATCGTCTTCATCCTCATCGTCACTGGACAAGCTGTCGGCCCTGCGGCCCTGGCGACGATCCTCTTCTCTGCGTTTACGCCGTTCCTTGAGGTATTCCTGGTAACGGGCATCTATTGACTCGCGGTTAGTTCGATTTGCCTCAAACCATGTCGATGAGCAGCACATACCTCGGATCTCCTGCGTCCTGGCGGCGTACCCCTGGATCTCCTCCTTGGTCAACACACGCAGGACAATGACATAATCAGGTCGTTCCTCGTAACGCTCGTTTCCAGCTTCAAGAGCGGCTGGATTTACCAATCGCCGATCGATCTTGGTCCATCGCGCTCCGGGAGGGATTCCCTTTTTATGGGCATCTTTCAGGGGTGCCACTCCCTCCCTGACGGGATTGGGCTCCTCGGGGAATTTGTCTCGAGGTGGCTTCAAAATCCCCTTTGGAGGAGCATCCGGTTCTTTGCTTTTCTTCAAATCCTCCTGGCTGCTGGCCGATTCGCGTGAACTCGTCTCATTTCTTAAAGAACCATTCTCCCCACGATGCCGCGAACGTGAGCTCCTGCGCCTATGTGCCCTCTCAACCGTCAAATGCTGCGATCCCGGGTCTTTGCGTCCACCGGAAGATGAGTCGGAACCACCGGGTTGCCGCCGAGCTGAAGGTTCACGTCGGTAGTTCTTGAGATCCTCGTCTGATGTATATCCGTCAGAATCACTCTCAGTTCTCCGTCTTGATGATCTGCGCGACCGACGGCGGCGCCTGTGGTGTTCCTGTCCATGATCATCATAATCACGAGAGTGATGGCGGTCGGTTCGAGGGGTAAGAGCGTAGTCAAAGTCATCAGAATAACCGGTGGCCAGAACCGCGGTTCCCAGCCCCGTTCCTGTTAATGGTGCCGTAGAGTCTGTAGCATTGGTCGACCTCCTAGGGGGTCTGTCATCGTAAGACTGCCGGCTAGCCGAATCATCATCATGGCGCCGACTGCGGTGATGGCGGCGGCCTTCATGATCACTCCTGTAGGAAGAGTAGCCATCGTCATAGTCCTGGTGCAAGGAGACTGGTCTTCGCTGCCATGACATCCTCCGGGATTCCGCCGGGTCGACGTCGCTCCCGATGGACTCATGAACCGACGATCGGGACCTCGTATCGCGATCCAGCTTGTCAAAGCCTCTCTGTGAGGGAGGCGGTCCCAAGGCTCGCGCCTCCTTCTTTGGGAGCAGCTGATGGTTCTCGATCCCTGTCATGCTCAAAGGCCTCTCCTTGCGGTATGCACCCCGACCGTACTTCAACCTGGCGACCGAATCCTTTTCGAACTGCTCCCGAGGGTTGGTGTAAGAGTAAGCATCGTAGTCATCAATGTCTTCTCCCTTGCGGAAGCCTCTAGGAGCTGGATAGCGCGATCGGTAACCGTGGTCATGAACACGGTAAGCTCCATGACCCGTCCGAGATCTCGTTGTTCGGGCATGCGGCTCGAGTCGGCCAGTATCACTCGCATAATCTGTAGGATACTGCCGGCTGTGACGCCGAGCGTGATGTGACGAGGATGAAGGAACAATATACCGTTCATGGCTTGGGAGAGGACTCGGAGATCGGCGATAGCTTGATGTGATCACAGGGGAATGTCTTTTCCCGGATGACGGAACATCGAGCCGGACAGGAGCATGGTGGATCTCGGCAGCGGAAGTGGTACTGCTCCGCGGTCTCGATCGGATGGCATACTCGGTCCTCAGCTTGGTGGAGTGACCAGGGTCCCGGTATGTTGTTGAGGAAATCGGTTGAACCTCAAGTCTCGGTTCGTGCGACACACGGGTGTTGTATGGAGTGCTGAAGGGGGTCACTAATGGGAGATCGGAAGGGTAGGGTGGGTATCCTGGACGACCCATGGAGGAGTCGAAGTGACCATATGAGGAGCTGAGAGGCACTGTTCCGGTCGAGGCACGCATGGGATCAACCATGCGGTGGCCGCTCGGAGACAAGGGCCGGTAGCGCACTGAAGAGTTCATGACTCTAAAAAGGGGTGTTTATATTTCGATTTCGGTGTCACAATCAAAGGAGCCGCAGATATGCCGTTGATGATTGGTATCTGAAATAAAAGAGCGTGCGGCAAATATTTGTTGGCAATGGTCGCGACCGGGAGTAGTGAGGGGAAAAAAAGGCTGAAGAGGAGCTCAATAGTGAATGGCAAGTGTATGCAGAAAAAGGTGGGGAATAGGACAGGAAGAAGGCCAGCGAAGCTGGTTCGACAATCTTCTAATCGAAATGAAAACTGTCTCGGGCACCAGACCAGAATGATAAAGCAGGCCGAGACCTGAAGACGATAGACTGGAGCTGGTGATGATGATGCTGATGATGCTGATGATGATGGAGGCGGCGGCGGAGGGGCAAAAAGCAAAAAATAGGAATGGGTCACGGAAAAAGGTCAAAGGAAAGTACGTAGCTGGACTGTTAGACTCGAGGCTAAACAGGCCGTGTGGGGATTCGGGGAATCGTTGGGCAAGCACTTAGTACGCATGCACTAGGTACTATGCACTATGGAAGTACTATGTATATGCAAGGGAGATTCTCGCCTGAAGGAGGAATGTAGCTGTCTATTTGTATGTGCAGATGGAAAGGCTGTAAAGGTGAAGCGGATGAAGGGGAAACCCGAGGACTGAGGATAGCATCGAAAGTACCCCTCCATGTATGAAGATGAAGAGAGTCGATAGCAATAACCTGATACAATATTGTCTGTATGGAGCAGTGTAAACGATTACTGTTTCAACACTCAGTATCCCCATTATTTCATAGTAGCAGTGCCTTTAGCAGTACTCCGTAGTGCATCCCATAACTATTCATCTGGTATTATCCATCCAGATACTCCGTACTATCTATCTAGTACCTACTAGGTATTATGAAGGATGAATTATTAATTCTCCTTTGCAAGGATGTGGCGTAAAGGTGGGGATATCTTCACTACCTTAGGTTCTGCTCCTCAGCTTTATCCAATAAGAGGAAGCAATTGTGGATGTGGATGATGTTAGGTATTTATCCAATGTCTAGTGGTTAAGTGGTTTTATGCCCAACTGTTTTCATATATCTAGATAGATAGTAGTTTATTCTTATGCAACCATGGATGTTCTCCCGCTAGAAATCTGGAGACGGATGTGTCTTCCATGGATCATGTGGCATGCAGATACATGGTACTTCGGCTACCTAGTTCAATCGTTCTACTATTTACAACTACCTTGGGCTCTCCGCAACTCAATTCCTTCCTCTCAATCATTCAAATCACCGATGATACTATTTGGGAACTGTCGTCATATGATAATCCCTCTTTCTCTTTGATATCACCCGACTGACCCTTGCTGAGTCTACTGTAATTTCATTCAACCTGCGAAGGAGTCTGTGATGCTCCACTGTCCTCCACTCGTAATACGCGCAAGCTTCAATACTGCTTGATTCTACGGAGTACTCCATAGGCTATTCAAAACCACTACCTCTACGAGGGGTAGGCTCCAGGGTTACCTTTTAGGATTGGAAATGTCTCCCGGTGAGAGTTTCTGAATGCAACCTTCTAGAGTTCACATTGTCAAGAGAAGGCAAAGTCCCGCCCAATTGCCCTGGCGAATTACCCAGTAAGTGTGTACTAAAGCACTAGTTACTGTCTCCACCTGCGATCCCTCGAATTGGGCGCACGATGATGACCTCATCCGATCCGACGGTTTCACACTTTCTCCCGTCCATTCTTCCTTCTAGAAAACCATAACCCAACCACTTCTCACTACATTGGCCACAATCGCAACCGAGGTCACAAAAAGTGGAGAATATTCCTTACAGAACACAACCTAGGCAGTCAAGCTAGTTCTAATGTTTTGCTTTCGACGAGACATCTACGGTCCACCGGATGGATTCAGAGCCAAGCCCCGGGGCAACTGGGCGCTTCTGCGGCTTTGCCCCATTGCCGGTGCCCTTCGTCAGTCAATCAGAACGCTTCAAAGTTAGCAGCTTCACCCGTCACTGCGATAATTACCATCGACGGGTAGATGGATACTAATCGGATCACCAGACCCCTTGAAACAGACGATCAATCATGGACTACGGGTGTAACTCGTCTGATCGTGGATGTCCCTAATCCAGACGAAAATCCCCATTGCCCGCTCCATCAACTTGGCCAATCTTTCCAACTCCTCATTGGACGGTAAGAGGAGCAAGGATGAGGCATTTTTCTGCTCTTCAGTATCACTATAATGACCAAGTCTCAAGGACTGCGGACCGACCCGGTTTCATGGTTTTCTGAAGGTTTCGCCAGGAAGGGTCAAACGAGTCGGTGTTTTGTTGCGGCCGTGATCCTCCTCAATTATGAGCTTTACTGGCGTTGTACTGGACCACATGAGACTAAGAGAGTGAAAACATCTTGGAGAATCTGTGACCACAACATCAAGGCACTGGCAAAAAGATCCTACAGCTCCGGATGTTCTTCCGCGTGCCGCGAAACCACCGGTCTCCGTTTCTGTTGCCCGGGGTGTCTTCCTCCCACATCTTACCGAGGACTGTCACTGGGAAGTGGCTATTCATGCCCCTTGCGCGCTTCAAGAGTCACGCTCGACCTGGTAAATCAGAACCCTGAGGGTATGTTCGAAGAATCCAATCTTTACCGTCAGGACGGTAGGACCACTCTGAGCAGCTTCTCCTGCTGTCGTTGAACAGTTTAGAGATCCATATAATCGATCACGGTCTCCAATGTGAGCCTTTGCTTAGCCACAATGGCCAGTAACAGGGCACAATCCTTCTGCTCTGTATGAACTCTTCATGATGCACTCGATATTATACGTCGAGTGCACCGCCCCTTGGTGCCTGATTTGCCCTTATCCAAGCTGTGACCTTATTCAAGCCACCATCCGCCCCTTTGGAGCGTACTCAATGTGACTAGTGCAATGGCTACTCTGTCCCAGCTCCTCGACGAACGGTTTACGACAGGACAGAAATATCTGAAGTGTCAAACCATGAGTCGCTCTCACACTCATCGGGCATGGATTGCCTAGCCACAGGCTCAAGCCGCAGCTGGTGACACATCAGAAGCTGCTTCATTCTCTTCTTTGCCCTGCTTTGCGGATCGCTTCACCGATGCAGGGGCTTGTGGCGCATTGCTTTCGGCCCGGGTGTTGTCCCTCAAGGCAATGAAGATGGGCTTCATGGACGAGCCTTTCGGGCTGCGTGAAGAGCATATATAACTGAGTCATAGTAGGTAGAGCTCATCCCTTTTACTGTTCGTTCCTGTGCTTCATCGTGAGCGCGGTCGAATCTGTCGATACTAGCGCATCCTCCCTCTGCAAGACCCAAACTCGCTACACCCTTATCAACAATTCAGCTCGTGTACATACATCACACCAAGGTCAAGCTAGTTAGAAATGTCTGCTCCACTTCGTTCTTCCCTCCTCACTGCTACTCTCCCCTCCCGCACCCAGCGCCCAGAATATACAGCCTACACAACCCCTCTACATCCTGCCAGGCGAACTCCAAGGTCACCGTCGCGAATCCCACATCGACGCTGCTACAATCACACCGCTGGCCGGATACCACAACCCCAATCCAGATTGCAGTATGCACATGGGCCCAAGTTACTCACAACGCACCAGTTTGCCCGACCTCCCATGACAGGCTGGTGGATTTGCTGCGCATGCGGTGGAGACAATAATCCCGACCTCAGCTCGGGCCGGTGCACCCTCTGCGGCCATATTCTGTGCTCCAGCTGCCGCTTCTATTGAGCCACTTGGCTTATTGGCATGTTGACTTATGACCAGAGTTTTGTCTCTGCGCGTGTATTGAGATGGCTTCTGTCTACTTTTTTTGCGCCTGCTTGACTGTATTACTAGCTGCGTTGTTTGCTTTTGCTTCTTTATGCGGTGACTTCGATGGTAGACCAGTCCTAGATCTATGTTCAGCGGCGTCGTCGCTCTTTGCGCCTTGTTTACATTTTCTTTTCTTTGATGTCAGGGATAGATACCCTTTGTTTGGCTTGCTATTATGCCAATGTTATGATTCATGAAAAGATTGATACTCTATAGTGTGCCACGTGATCCACTCTTACAGAAGCATCCTGTGATCTAAGTATATCCAGGAATTTGGGGCTAAAGGTGTATTGATATAGGAGCCAAAAGAAGGTCAGGCATCCATATTAGGATTGAGGACAAAAGTGATAATTAACTAGACTATTCAGTTACGTCGTCTATGTTTTCCTCGTCGTTGTTCATGCTGCGGTGTCTCTTCGGCACCCGCAGGGTCCGCCGACTCCGATTCCGTGGAAGTTTCTAACCCAGCCTCTTTCTTCAACCTTGTCACAACGGGCCCGAGGGCAAAGGCGCTCTCGTGACTACTGTGGTCCGCACAAGGACTTTGCTTGATAGGGAGAAGCCACTCGAGCAGAGAGAAACCCATTACCTGCTGTATATTCTTGAGCGGACTTCCAAGGTCAAATGGATTTTCCCCTGGTAGGGTCTGTAGGATTGCGAACACATGCTGTTCTCCGACTGGGAATTCCCGCGCGACTTCCGACTCAGCCGGAGGAATAGGCGGGAGAGGGTATGTAATTGTACGGAAGGTTGGTGCCCAGCGTTTGCTGAGGATGTGCCTCGGCACGCGTATTGCCAAGGTCCACACGGCCGAGCGGCGGTTGAGGTTCTCAATCGTTGTCAGGTTATACGCGGCGAGTTGCACAGAGCTTATGGTCATTCCAAAGGCGAAGAACCCAAAAATAGAACTCCTAGTGGCTGGTAAGAAAGATATACATGTCGTAGTGAGGGAATGCACTTACAATGCGAGACAGACAATCCAATGAGCATTGGTTCTTCCGGCCTGTGAATGATGATACATTAATTGAGAATCCTGCTAGGTCAGCCAGATCATGCACTTACCTCCCGTCTGAGCTCGGCAGTGTATATCGCAAAGACGATAAGAACAAATATGCAGTAGAACATCGTATAAACGATGAACTGGATAAAAAACTTGAACGAGGTCTCCGAGACTACACCGCCAACCCTTCGGGCATGTTAGTCTCCTTGCCATTGCAAAAGCCCGCGTATGATTCCGACATACCACGGGCAAAAGTGATCCATCTTGCGGACACATCGGTCAACCTCTCGACAGTGGTGCGCTCTGTCTGTCTTGAACTGACAGCATGTGGAGCAATACACCGGTCTCCCATCCGGTTGACATACAAAGACATCTTTGGTGTAGAAGCTCTCCAATCCTTCCGCATCCAGAGGGTATGCCTTTGCTCCCGCATTGTACTCAAGTCCTCGTTCGACGTCGCCTCCGTCAGATCTATCCGTTTTCTCCGTCGTTTTGGACCGATGATGTCCGCTCTTCCTCCTGCGATGTCTTCGATGACGGTGCTTTGACCCATCACTGTCGGTCTGACTTTGAGAACATGCTGTACCCCGCGGCAGGTAACCAGGGTTCAAGACAACGTTATACAAAAGCCGGAGATAGGTCGCCAACACAGGAATCAGCAGGACGTAATAAACGGCAAGAATAGCGGCGCCAGCGCCACTCCGAGACTTTCGATCATAATGGTGGGCAGGATGTATGAGATAGTCGACTGTTATTCAGGTTCATATTAGACTGGATTGAGGCTGGTATGATTGGGGTAGAGGATGCTGACCGCATAATGGTTTCGTGATAGCATAACTGGCATAACCAAACACACCAATCAAGATGGGAGGTATGATTCTGGCAACGGCGAGATTGACGCGCTTATCCGCGGCGCGACGTGCCATTTGAAACTAATTCCAGAATGTTTTGCGATCGCCTGTGCATTGAGGAATGGTGATAAGATAGGAAGACTTGGTAGAGATTTCTGCCAGAAGCACCGGCGTCAATCATAAACCGGATCAACTCTCATAAACACAGGCAACTAGCCCGCTCGAGTACGGTGCATAAGTCCTGATTAATAGTATCTTGTTATGGATGCACTGGATTGGATGCAAGAAAGATTTAGATTTGGGTTATGATGATGTTGAAGCAGCCTCAGGAACATAATAATGCTCACCACGTGCAAACATTACAAACAGAAGACATGACGTAGTCATGTGCTTCCATGTAAACAATGGCTGAACCAGCCAGTACAAAGATTTTAGTCTCAAGTACCTTTATAATCAGTTAACCTATGGTTTTACTGCAATATTGTGGCTTGAGTATACAGAGTCCCGGGTCTACCATGACCAGCCATATCAGCCCACGTTCCATACCACTTGATGAACCGCCGTCGCGGCACCTTGAGCCGAACGGATCGATGTCCTAGCGAGCATTACAGTTCCAGGCATGAATTTTTCTGCCTGTACTCCGTACTTGCAGGCCATCTTTGGATACGAGCATCGTCACCTCTCATGATAGGCAAACATCGACTTTCATGAGTCTCCAGTCAAGCCAAATGGCTGTTGGACTAAGGGGACATTGGTAAACAACTTTCACTGATTTAAAACGAAAGTGAAGAGCATAATCAGTTGAGAGATAAAAATCACTCGAGTGATGGCAGACAAGGAATTCGTCTGGATGTAGTTGGAATACCTTCAGGAACCGGAACTGGGGCCAAATGCCTCAATCAAATGCGTTTGACCTGGGCCAAGCAGACGCAGTGTAGCAGTACGAAACCATGCTACTAATAATAATCATAAGACAAAGAATGGAACAGGAGAGATGATGCGAGAGAGGAGGCAGCATAACCATCACCATCTATTTTTAATGATTGTCGGCAATGAATCATCCTCTCACTCTCTGCTCCCCCGTCATCTTCTACGTTGAACAGTTAGAATATAGATTACTCAACGTCATCAGAGAAGGACCTTGTAAGACGCCAACAGTAAATGACTGAATGGTCAAATGGCGGCTTAGGCAGCAGGAGCACGTGGAATTTGTTTGTGCTTACTGCTGAGAGGGCCGAAAAGCATTTGACCGACAAATGCTACGGGGGAAACGGCTTTCCGAGTACATTTGGTGAGCAAAACTAACGGTCAGCGCCAAATGTGAAAGCGCCTTAGGAACGATGACTGTTCTTTTGTTTTTTCTTTTTCCAATGACGATTTCCGCGACGAATCATGCAAGGACGAATGCACGACGGAGCCTCGTGCTGTAGCTAACCAGGCAGGGGGGATCGTTGCCTGAATCCGCTGGTACTAACGTTGCTGAAAGTGGAGTCGTTCTCGAGAGCCGCTACCAGTTAGTACGTCGTTTCAGCAGGCAACACACGCGTGGAGTACAAACGGATGACTCTCCTACAAGTCAAGAAAAAGAAAACAAAATGCATAATGAGCCAAGAAGAATGCAGATGAAATCCCGTTCAATGCTTGGGGTGAAAAGGGCGGAATCAGAGGGCATTCGGGCAAAGCGACATGTCCAAGCCACGTGCTGATTCCGCCTTTTCCATCATAGACAGTGGACCCTCTAGGAGGGCCTGAGTCAACGCGAGTGCTTATTCTAGCGGTCATTCTACTCAGATATTCTCAAATTGATTCAGGGATGACTTCAATGTCATTCTCCAGATGGCATCTAGGCACTGATGGACCCATTTTTCACGCCGCCAAGCCACAATTCGATATACTGCCATCCAGAATCCTAATGGCCCCCGCCTCTAACTTCTCTTAGAAAGCGGGTTCAACTAAGCTATTCTCTGGCTTGCTTGCCTGATGATATGCCTGAGGATGAAGGTTGATTCGCTGCAGACCTGGGGCGCATTTGAATGTCCGGGGCTTTTGCCTGGGAGAAGCCACACTGTGCCCTTGTGAGCTGCCTTGCTCATTGTTTGATGTGATTCATGTCTTTCTCATCATCTCATTCTTTGTTTTTTTTATTTAAACATGCTCCAATCCCTCATTATGGACACTCTTTCATTCTTCATCATTCAACGCAACAAGCATTCACTATATAGACCTGTCTTCAAGGCTCTCAGAACTGCCATTCGTCTCCTCCATCTTCAGGATCATTCGCTCAATCGTCTCTTCCATCTCAATCATGCCTGACTCCTGGTTCACTGAGGGCATGAACAAGAACCTGAACATCAACATCAACGACTCCCTACCCGGCTGCCACGACATGTCTTCCTACCACGCCGTCACTGTCTCCAGCAGACGGCATCTACACATCAGTCGTCAAGCCAGCCTACAGGGCCCCTCAATGCCTTACGAGGATCTTCCGGAGACGTACTTCGCCGGCCACTCGGGTCGAGCGACAAACATGAACAAAGTCTACAGCCAGACCTACATGTACATCTGCTGCAATTGCGGCGACGGGCCGAAAGTATACAATGTCCAACCAAGATGCACAGAGTGCAACCACATTGTGTGCTCCAGTTGCAAGCCTGTCAAGTAGTACCTCTTCTCCAGCACAACACCTAGGTAAGAACTTCTGCCGCTGTACCGATACTGAGAAGCCGAAGCTGATGCGTTGTGCTTACAGAAATTCAGGATGGCTGCGCCTGCCTGCTGTGTACTGTATTTGGGTTGGTTCTCGGTTTAGTTGTCATCGTGAGCGAAGCATTATTATGGATACATCATGAAACATGAAACATGAAACGAACATGAGCATGGGTGTTTACGGTTATTTTTGGGAAGGTTTGCATACTTGGACTGGATAGACCTGGAATGTCTTTTGGATACAGCGCTTTTTTGATGATCGTACCACTGTTGATGCTAGATCGGCGGGCTACAATGAGCTGAGCTGGTCTCAGTCCATAGTAGCCCTGGTGGAAGCCTGACGGCAGCGGGGTTGTTTCTTGATTTGTTTTTTTTTTTTTTGTTTCTGATATTGTTTATGCCTGCAGTTTGATGTTTTAAATTGACTAATTTTGAAGTCTATGTTAATCAATTGTTCCCTGCCACCTTATGACTCTAAGATCTGTAGTTCGTGTCTCAGTTGAATACTATTGGCATGGACCAGGGAGCCTTGTAGCCCGGGGTTGCCTAGCTGGAGATCGCGTGCCATATTCTGAAAGTATACTCTGTCCAGAAAATCTGTGACTAGCCACATTGAACCAGAATTCATTATTAGAATCCAAAGGAATATTTGTTCTCACTCTAGGATCAGAACAGATTCTAAAACTTTTTTTTTTTTTTTTTTTTTTTTTTTTTTTACTGATTTTCTTTTGATATCTGCTGTCTACTCCTTCAAAAATGATGCTAGCCGTGATGTATATACATTGAGATCAGCCACTTGACACTTCATCATTAGTCGAAAACTGGATAATCCTTGGCAAGATGAGTACTGTGGCACATCACTAGTGACTAGTTAGTTCGTTCTACGGACTAGTTAGTAGTCTTACTCTTATAATTATTAATCACCGTTTTGAGCCGCAGTCGATCACAGCAAGGATGACATGCATCATGCCCTCCGTTGATTCCACCGCCCTTTCTGTCGGGATCTATATGCAGTCAACCCTATTCCCTGCGCAAAACAGCGGTCTCCATCTTACAACTTGATTCTTCGGCTGAGAAATTCAAATTCAGCCCTGCAACGATAATTCATGCTTGAATTATTCCGACTCGGTGAGAAATACGAGGGTAGGCTGTGTTGCGCCCGGACTTGTTCGATACAATTTCCAGGAGGCATTTCAGCAATTTAGGTTTACCGAGTCTGCCTTGATCTAATCTTTTTTGTTTATGGTTCCAAGTCTTGAAGTGGATTTATAGATTCACTGTGTTTCCTTTCAAATTATTAGAGAAATTGTTTCAGCTCTGAACGACGATGATGAACATACACTGCCTTACACCTACGTAGCCTATCCCAGGAATTTCCATGATCCATCTGCAACGACATTCTAGAACTATTTTCCATTTTCCATACATATCCCAACTGTCAGCTCGTGCATGAGTAACTTAATTACCAACACCCGGACACATCTCCCTGCTAGTAGCCACATGGTATCCCCGACCCCAAGCCAGGATCTATCTGCACCGTACCCTTGGGGAATACAGACTCGAGAATCTGCCCCCAATTCGGTTGCATGACTCGAAAGAAGCTATTCTAATCGAATCTTCAATATCATAAATAGATATCCGCTTCACGCCATTACAAGAGAATCCTATCCTTGCTTGCCCCTATTCTCCGAAATGGGGTCCAAAAAAAGCGCGCTGAAGATGACAGCCCCCAACCCTAAATATGACGATTTGGCGCCGTTGGATAAAACTAAGTGATCCTTCAGCTGTCTCCTATAACTATTTGATTCTTTATTACGTGAGATGGTTAATTTAATCACCAGTCATTGAGCGTTATAACGCGCTGAAGAAGTGAGAGCCATACTCTTCTAGTCCTACTGCTGACTATTAATGTATTTTCCTGCACCACGTGGCAGCGTAACCCAGAGTCCCAGATAATCAAACTGGACACAACATATAGGGTACTGATTGTTACAAAGTACCTACTAAATTAAGAAAATGTCGCATAACAATGTTATTATCCATCAATTGATTTTGATTGTTGCTTCCAGACCAGGTTCTAACCTAGGTGCCAACCAACCTTCATGCCTAGACAAAGAAGACCGTCGGGGTCCCAATGCAGAAGGAAATCAACACAACGAGATGACTCAGAATCTACGACATACAATATTGTAATGCATGGAAGATCCTGACGCTCTCAATTATGACTCAAGATTCCAGGATATGTTATGTTGACTACAAGGTACAGGGGTTCCTATTCGGTTTAGTCTACAAAGAAGCTGAACTGCACAGCCCTAAGTATGGAGGATAGCAGGATCAAATGATCGGGATACGATTTGGGTGTTCAAGTG